CAAATAGTCTTTAAGTTATTTATACTAAAACTGTCTGTACCAGTGTAGGTAGTACCAATTGAAAATGCTGTGCTGAGTGGTTATTAATTACTACCTTAAAAAATAAGCAGAAACTCGACGTTTCGAGCGAAGGCCCTAGCCCTTCGTCAAGAGTTAGTAGCCTGCTTATTTTTTAAGGTAGTAAAATAACCACTCAGCACAGCATTTTCTTTGAGTTATTGCTGCTTTAAATGTGAAAATTGGACCAAAAATTCGCAATAAGGACTGGGTACTAGGTCAAAAACGCGTTTTTGACAGCGTATAGCTCGAAAACAATTTGAGCTATAAAAAACTGTTTAAATGCCTTATATGTAGGTTTTTGTAAGCTTTTTGATGATGCAAGTCATTTTTGTTGTAATTGAATACAAAATTTCACATTTTCTTGCTGTAATACAATTTAATAGGGGATAATCACTGATCACCCATTTTCTCGGTGTTTGGCAAGTTTTCTGCTTGGGAACTTTTTGTGGTAATTGAGCATCTATGGTACTATGCATTGAACCACAGAAAATCTATTCCCCAGGGGGTTGCCATGAAATTACTTTTCTAAGCACTTTTTCGCACAACGGCCCACAGCCTAATAGGAAAGACGATCTTGGCACGATTGCAGAATGAGAAGAAAAACCATTTTCAAAATTAGTTTGTTTTCAATATAGATTAAATAGCTATCTCTTGTCTATTTAACATTAATTGTTCCACAGTCATCTTTAGTGCTACCCTGGATTCCAGATCCTTCAGTAAATAATAAATTGAAACGTCATGAAGGCTCTGGTTCAACGGGTTCTTTGATTAAACCATGCCAATCACAAAACAGAATTAGTGGTTTTAGTACAGATTCTGTACTAAAACCACTATTCTGTTTTGTGATTGGCGTGGTTTAATCAAAGAAGAACCCTCCCGTTGCATGAACCAGAGCCTTCACGACGTTTCAATTTATTATTTACTAAGGCTCTGGAATCCAGGGTACTTTAGTGCCAGTTTCAAACATTTTATATCTAAAATCTACGTCAAAAATACAACATTTTTGTAGCAATGAAAGCTTTCACACAAGCTTGTTTTTGAGCCGAGGCCGGCAAGCTAGAGGGGGGGGGGAGACAAAATACCGGGGGCCCGGAGTGCTTGTATTATTTGTATTGTTTATCGTCACTTTATGTTTGTCCTAAATGAAATACACCTACTTGCACACTATCTGCTGATCGTCGTAATCGATCGTAAAACTTACCAAATGTGAAATAAACGAATATGATAAAATAGGCCATTTTATACCACCAAGCATTTATCCAAAAATCAAATGCTAAAATATAGGCGAGTATGGGTCAAAATGTTTAGATTCTTGTTTATATCAGGTAAGAAGTCTTGTCTTAACCTTAACCAATAATTTTTAGCTAAATTTTGTGCATAACACAGTTCCTGAAGGCGTTTGGAAATAATGCTGACGTCAGCACTTTTACTTTTCAAGATGCTGTAACAGTGACTCAGGAGGAATTAATCCTATTAATTCAAAATTTTTGGTGAAAACTCATGATGATATTTACAACATATAAAATGTCCAGTATTGTAACTGAAATTCCTGGAAATTGGACGGAAACCTGCATAAGGCCCATTGGAAAGGTCTGTGAATATGGAGATGTAAAGTGTGAATGAATGTGGTGAAAACTTCAAATTTTAATCCCGTATGAAAAAGTGCTCCTGTTCAAACTTTGCATTCTCTCTTGAATATTTTGCTAAAGGCATTTGTGCCAGGGCTGTTAACTGACAAGTATGAAAGGGGTGTACATTTAGCTTGTTTTTTTTTTTTAAATGTAAGTATATATTAGTGTATTATTATAATAGAAATACCTTGTAAATTTGTGACAAATTAAACAGAAGGTAATTTGAAATTTTAAAGTATTCATAAACACTAATATTACAATTTAATACATTGTGAATAATATACGTTGTTCTTAACGTATTATTTTTACAGTAAAATGTCTTAATTTCTTGCTAAGTTAATTTTTTTTTAAATTTGAATTTTGGGATGAATATGGGGATGAATCTAAGGATGAATGTCCAGATAGCTTCACAGAAGCACAGACAGAAGTGAAAAACCGTTATATTATTGGGTTTCATATGACGTCACAGAAGTGACGGGGGGGGGGGGGGCAACTCTAAAGCAAAACACAGTTATCAGAATCCTTACTCTATGTCAGAGTTGACTGTTCGTTTAACCTCCTCAAAAAGTATTTTCCATCCAGCAAACTGATCTGAAATCATTTTTGGAAGAGACTAACCCAAATCCTACCCCTACTCTAACCCTAACCTCAACCCTAACTCTAATCCTAAACGAAGTAATAAAAAAATCCAAAAAGAAACGACTTTACAAAATTGATAGGGTGGTATGCTGGATGGAAAAAAGTGCTAACCCCTCATAAACTGTTTCATAATTTTACACCCGTTTTCAAAATTACGCGACCTCCCTAAAAAATACTCTTACTTCAAATGTCAGTTTTATGTCACAAGAACTGCTAAAAATAACAAACGTAAACAAACTGTCAAAAGACATTTTAAACCGTATTTAATACCAAAACTGAACAAAAATGAGTTAATTAACTTAGATATACAAACTAAAGCACAATACAAGCCAGCACAACAGAAATATGTGCCGTGAATGACTTTTAAAGTTTGAAAAATAACAATTTATCCTCGAACTTAGCTGTCAGTATAAAACACGCGCGCTAGACTATAACGGTGATGTCATGATTTTGTCGTGCTTAAATTTTGCAATAATTCTCTCTAAAATATCTTGAAAATCATTCTAAGCCTGTTTATATAAAGCATACAAAGCATATACATCGACAAGGAACCGCAAAACTCAAAGTTTGAACTTCGTGACCGAATGACATAAAACTGACGTACAACTCTAGCATTTTCGTCCTTGGTGTCGCGTAATTTTGAAAACGGGTGTAAAGTCCGAAATTTCTTAAATTTTATGACAGTAGCAACGATTTATTATTGTTGTGATAAATTTTCGGTCTATAACCTTCATTCAGCTAAAAAATTTAATAGTTCGGCAGTATATTTTCGCATAACCCTCTTCTCTTGAAATGTACTGCCTGATCGCACTGTCGTAAACTACGCCATTCTTACAGTAAGAAAATATTTTCGACTGACCTTTTAATACTCAAAGTGTTCACGTTTGCAAAAAAACAACGGCAAACGTCGAAAATACAGAGCAAGATTCAGGACATATCGGGCAATCTACTGAACCTATTGATTTTCATTCTTTTGCTATTCTTCATCAAAAATTTAGGCGATAAAAATATTTCGTTCGAATAGTGCTACTGTCCGAAAATTGGACAACATATTGTACCTGATATATAAAACTTACTTTTTTTTACTTTATCGATCCAAATCCAAATTACGCGTACGTATTGAAGTGTACTTTAAACTGTCTAAATAAAATGTAATTAGACGTCCAAACTCCAAAGCCACTTCGTGATTTTAGGCAGAATTTTATACAGTATAAAAGGCAACCTTGCAAGCCAGCGTTTTTATCACGCTTTAGGCGATTCTCGAGGCTGGTAACCGCTGGTCACGTGACTCCCAGAAAATTGATTGCCGTTTCGGAGCCTGGGAACGAGGTTGGCCGACCATTTAACTTTTGAGGGAGGGGGGGGGGGGATTTTGAAAAAAATTCCTGCAAGGCTATTCTGAACAAAAAAAAATACCTGCACTAACAAACTGGGGGAAAAATATCCTGCCCCAGTATTTGGTGGGAAAAAAAATGTTGCAAAACAGCATGGTTGCATGGATCGATCTGACCAGTCCCAGAAGATCAGCTGGTTTGATTTTCATGGACTAGTGTAAGGTTAATTTCTTGTTGGAAAACTCCACAAAATGCTGGAAATAGCTTATCTGAGCTTCAAGAAATCCAAAATTTTCTGGGCGGGGGCATGCCCCCAGACCCCTCTAGAGGCTTGCACCTTCGGTGGTCAACTCGGTTGTCTCATGATCAGAACCCTAGTTATGGCATGATCTGCTGCCCTATGACGTATACTTATAAGTTAAACCATGCATATATATGCTGCAAGTAGCTGCAGCAGTGATACAGACTTGCCGACTGGAACTTCTCCAGTTCCCCCGCTGAATATGTCCCCTCCAGTTAATTACACATCCTTAAAAGAGGCCCTGAACCAAATGTTATACCTCATAGCAATATGTATTATTAAAAGCAATGCATGAAGCTAGAAAACTCAACGTCAACTATAATTAAATAATCTAAATAGTATGAGCTATTGAAAAAAAATGCTGCGAAAGAGAGTGGCAAAAAAAATCGTACATGGTGATGGGATAGGAAAAAAAACTCTTGCACATAACGATCCCAGAAAAAAATTCCCTGCCAGCAGTAAATCACCCCCCCCCCCCTCTCAAAAGTTAAATGGTCGGCCCCTAAGGGCCCTGGCCTAAAGGGGGAAGGGAAAAGTATCATTGTTACTGTCTTTGACTCCTCGTCAAAGTGGACGCCACTGTCTTTCGCATATCATGTTTTTCAAACACACATCCAACGCTTAAACTCGAATATTTATGTTACTTTACTTTACTTACATCTTGTTTACTTACTCTTTGTTTACGTTAAGAACCGTTTGGTTCTTCATGCACTAATAAATGTTTTAATATCAACTTATGGCGTCCATATTAATCGCCCAAAACCCCTCTAAAACAACAATAAAATCTCGTGTTCTGTTATCACATGACCGGAAATAAATTTTCCCGGAAATGAATGTCCACGGAAGACACGGTAGCCACACCGGCACCTAAATCGATTGTAACGCTGTTGGGAATTTTGCTTTAAGTATCACCAACAAATCACTAGTTGTATTTTTGATATATAATCTCTCAAATCACTCACTCTCGTATCACATTTTTCAATGGTTTCGCAGTCAAAGTCTCACAACAACAAAAATTCCTGTTTTAAAGGAAAACTATGTATCACGCTATCGCGCGTGGAGTTCACGTGTTCTATTACTATTTTAACTATAGACTGAGGTAAAGTCTCCGACACACTCCCCCATGTATGTTCTGTCCGAGACATACATGCACTCTCAGACTTTATAACGCAAATGTAAACACTAAATAATGTAATTATAGTCATCAGTTCCAACTTTACTATCAGTATCAACTTTGATTATCGTTCTAGTCCGACTGTTCGTTCTCGGCAAGTTCTCTAATAGCAACTCTCGCAGCTTCTGCAGCGGCTCTCTTTGGTCTTGGGTGGAAGTCTGTGGCATCAGGGTTCAGTTGTGGGTTGTTGTTTAAATCGCAAGACAATTCAAGGGGAAATAAATGTTGGACTGCTCTCTCCAATGTACCCTTGCCTGTTTTCACCACTGCTCCCCGTACAACTCCGTCCTTTCCCGTAATTAATCTTGTCACAACAGCAGTTCTCCACGTATTCCTTGGTTTGTTTTCTTCTCGAACAATCACGACTTCTCCGATCTTCGGATGCACAGCATTCTTGTTTCCAGTTTGGCGGTGTTGTTCACGCAGGCCACGAACATATTCACGACTCCATCTGTCCCATACTGCTTGTTTGCATCTTCGAAGGAACGTTGCACGTTTTCTCAAATCTTTCTCGGCAATGTGATGTGCCTCTTCTTCAGGAACGTACGTTGCATTGACCTGAAGCAACGAGTTAGGTGTCAGCGCTGGTAATTCAATATCGTCCTCGAGATATGTTAGCGGTCGGTTATTTAACGCTACTTCTACGTCGAGTATGACATCCTCCAACTCAGACCATTTCAGAGTTCCGTTACCAACGGATTTGTAGAACGCATTCTTGAACAAGCCTATAAGTCTCTCGAATTGGCCCCCCCACCAAGGGGCCCGACTCAGATTAAAACGCCATTTGATACCAAAACGTGCAAGGAGACTGTGAAACTGTTCGTCCTTTCTCACACGCTGTAACCATTTAGCTGTCGCCTGAAAGGTAGCTCCATTATCCGAGTACACTACCTTGGGTCTGCCACGTCTAGCGATGAATCTCTTTAAACAGGCGATAAACTCCTCTGTTTCCAATGACGTTACCAGTTCCAGATGAATCGCTCTGGTCAGACTGCACGCGAACATGGTTAAGTAGGCTTTCCCTTCCGTCTATTTTCCGCGTTGATATCTTATCGGCCCGGCGAAGTCTACGCCTATCACTTGAAATGGCACGTCACCCTCGGTACG